GTGTGAGAGTAGAGCAGTGTAGGAGTAGAGCAGTGTGGGAGTAGAGAGCAGTGTGGGAGTAGAGCAGTGAGGGAGTAGAGCAGTGTGAGAGTAGAACAGTGTAGGAGTAGAGCAGTGTGGGAATAGAGAGCAGTGTGGGAGTAGAGCAGTGTGGTAGTAGAGCAGAGTGAGAGTAGAGCAGTGTGGAAGTAGACAGTAGTGTGGGAGTAGAGCAGTGTGGGAGTAGAGCAGTGTGGGAGTAGAGCAGTGTGGGAGTAGAGCAGTGTGAGAGTAGAGCAGTGTGGGAGTAGAGCAGTGTGGGAGTAGAGCAGTGTGGGAGTAGAGCAGTGCGGGAGTAGAGCAGTGTGGGAGTAGAGCAGTGTGAGAGTAGAGAAGTGTGAGAGTAGACAAGTGTGAGAGTAGAGCAGTGTGAGAGTAGAGCAGTGACGGAGTAGAGCAGTGTAGGAGTAGAGCAGTGTGGGAGTAGAGCAGTGTGGGAGTAGAGCAGTGTGGGAGCAGAGCAGTGTGGCAGTAAAACAGTGTGAGAGTAGAGCAGTGTGAGAGTAGATCAGTGTGAGAGTAGAGCAGTGTGAGAGTAGAGCAATGTGGGAGTAGATCAGTGTGGGAGTAGATCAGTGTGGGAGTAGAGCAGTGTGAGAGTAGAACAGTGTGGGAGTAGAGCAGTGTGAGAGTAGAACAGTGTGGGAGTAGAGCAGTGTGGGAGTAGAGCAGTGTGAGAGTAGAGCAGTGTGGGAGTAGAGCAGTGTGGGAGCAGAGCAGTGTGAGAGGAGAGTAGTGTGGGACCAGAGCAGTGTGGGAGTAGAACAGTGAGGGAGTAGAGCAATGTGGGAGTAGAGCAGTGTGGGAGAAGAGCAGTGTGGGAGAAGAGCAGTGTGGGAGCAGAGCAATGTGGGAGCAGAGCAGTGTGGGAGAAGAGCAGTGTGGGAGTAGAGCAGTGTAGGAGTAGAGCAGTGTGGGAACAGTGCAATGTGGGAGTAGAGCAGTGTGGGAGTAGAGCAGTGTGGGAACAGAGCAGTGTGAGAGCAGAGCAGTGTGGAGGTAGAGCAGTTAGGAGTAGAGTAATGTGGGAGGAAAGCAATGTGGGAGCAGATCAGTGTGGGAGTAGAGCAGTGTGGGAGTAGAGTAGTGTGGGATTAGAGCAGTGTGGGAGTAGAGCACCATGGAAGTAGAGCAGTGTGGGAGTAGTGCAGTGTGGGATTAGAGCAGTGTGGGATTAGAGCAGTATGGGAGTAGAGCAGTGTGGGAGTATGGCATTGTGGGAGTAGAACAGTGTGGGAGTAGAGCAGTGTGGGAGTAGTGCAGTATGGTAGTAGAGCAGTGTGGGAGTAGAGCAGTGTGGGAGTAGAGCAGTGTGGGAGTAGAGCAGTGTGGGAGTATAGCAGTGTGGGATTAAAGCACTGTGGGAGTAGATCGGCGTGGAAGTATAGCAGTGTGGGATTAGAGCAGTGTGGGAGCAGAGCAGTGTGGGAGTAGAGCAGTATGGGAGTAGAGCAGTGTGGGAGCAGTGTGAGAGTAGAGCAGTGTGTCAGTATAGCAGTGTGGGAGTATAGCAGTGTGGGATTAGAGCTGTGTGGGAACAGAGCAAAATGGGAGTAGAGCAGTGTGGGAGTAGAGCAGTGTGGGAGTAGAGCAGTCTGGGAGCAGAGAAGTGTAGGAGAAGAGCAGTGTGGGAGTAGAGCAGTCTGGGAGCAGACAAGTTTGGGAGCAGAAAAGCGTGGGAGTAGAGCAGTGGGGGAGTAGAGCAGTGTGGGAATAGAGCAGTGTGGAAACAGAGAAGAGTGGGAGTAGAGCAGTGTGAGAGCAGAGCAATGTGGAAGTAGAACAGTGTGAGAGCAGAGCAGTGTGGGAGTAGAGCAGTGTGGAAACAGAGCAGAGTGGGAGTAGAGCAGTGTAGAAACAGAGCAGAGTGCGAGTATAGAAGTGTGGGAGTAGAGCAGTGTGGGAGTAGAGCAGTGTGAGAGTAGACAAGTGCGGGAGTAGAGCAGTGTGAGAGTAGAGCAGTGTGGGAGTAGAGCAGTGTGGGAGAAGAGCAGTGTGGGAGTAGAGCAGTGTGGGAGCAGAGCAGTGTGAGAGGAGAGTAGTGTGGGAGCAGAGCAGTGTGGGAGTAGAACAGTGTGGGAGTAGAGCAATGTGGAAGTAGAGCAGTGTGGGAGAAGAGCAGTGTGGGAGCAGAGCAGTGAGGGAGCAGAGCAATGTGAAAGCAGAGCAGTGTGGGAGTAGAGCAGTGTGGGAGTAGAGCAGTGTACGAGTAGAGCAGTGTGGGAACATTGCAGTGTGGGAGTACAGCAGTGTGGGAGTACAGCAGTGTGGGAGCAGAACAGTGTGGGAGCAGAGCAGTGTGAAGGTAGAGCAGTTAGGAGTAGAGCAATATGGGAGGAGAGCAATGTGGGAGCAGATCAGTGTGGGAGTAGAGCAGTGTGGAAGTATAGCAGTGTGGGATTAGAGCAGTGTGGGAGTAGAGCAGTGTTGGAGTATGGCAGTGTGGGAGTAGAGCAGTGTGGGAGTAGAGCAGTGTGGGAGTATGGCAGTGTGGGATTAGAGCACTGTGGGCGTAGATCAGTGTGGAAGTATAGCAGTGTGGGATTAGAGCAGTGTGGGAGCAGATCAGTGTGGGAACAGAGCAGTGTGGGAGTAGAGCAGTATGGGAGTAGAGCAGTGTGGGAGCAGAGTAGAACAGTGTGGAAGTACAGCAGTGTGGGAGTAGAGCAGTGTAAGAATAGAGCAGTGTGGGAGTAGAGCAGTGTGGGAGTATAGCAGTGTGGGATTAGAGCAGTGTGGGAGTAGAGCAGTGTGTCAGTAAAGCAGTGTGGGAGTATAGCAGTGTGGGAGTATAGCAGTGTGTGAACAGAGCAATGTGGGAGTAGAGCAGTGTGGGAGTAGAGCAGTGTGGGAGTAGAGCAGTGTGGGAGTATGGCAGTGTGGGAGTAGAACAGTGTTGGAGTAGAGCAGTGTGGGAGTATAGCAGTGTGGGATTAGAGCAGTGTGGGAGCAGATCAGTGTGGGAACAGAGCAGTGTGGGAGTAGAGCAGTGTGGGAGTAGAGCAGTGTGGGAGCAGAGAAGTATGGGAGTAGAGCAGTGTGGGAGTAGAGCAGTCTGGGAGCAGACCAGTTTGGGAGCAGAAAAGTGTGGGAGTAGAGCAGTGGGGAGTAGAGCAGTGTGGGAGTAAAGCAGTGTGGAAACAGAGCAGAGTGGGAGTAGAGCAGTGTAGAAACAGAGCAGAGTGTGAGTAGAGCAGTGTAGAAACAGAGCAGAGTGGGAGTAGAGCAGTGTAGAAACAGAGCAGAGTGGGAGTATAGCAGTGTGGGAGTAGAGCAGTGTGGGAGTAGAACAGTGTGGGAGCAGAGCAGTGTGGAAACAGAGCAGTGTGGGAGTAGAGCAGTGTGGGAACAGAGCAGAGTGGGAGTAGAGCAGTGTAGAAACAGAGCAGAGTGGGAGTAGAGCAGTGTAGAAACAGAGCAGAGTGAGAGTAGAGCAGTGTGGCAGCAGAGCAATGTGAGAACAGCAGAGTGGGAGTAGAGCAGTGTGGGAACGGAGCAGAGTGGGAGTAGTGTGGGAGCAGAGCAGAGTGGGAGTAGAGCAGTGTGAAAACAGAGCAGAGTTGTAGTAGAGCAGTGTGAGAGCAGAGCAGTATGGGAGTAGGGCAGGGTGACAGCAGAGCAGTGTAGAGCTGTTGTCAGTGCAAATGTTGTCAATGGTGGATATGCTGTCGGAGGAGGGCATGTTGTCTGTGGAAATGTCATTGGGGAAAATGACAGTGATGGAACTGTTGTCAGTGTTAGATGTGTTGTCAATGAAGGTGGAAAATGTCATTAGTGGATATGTTGACAGTGGAAATGAGCAATCGGAGGATCGAGCCTGCAGCTGTGCTTGCACTAAAATAACCCACATACGTTGAGTGCTACTCGTAAGAAAAAATCTATTAACCTATTGAATTGCTTTGCGCGTTTTGCATATAATTTACCCTTGTTACAAAGCGCTACATATGCAACATACTCTCACACAGCATTCTACATTTACAAGTAATCTGATACCTTGTCTTGCAATAGATTGCTCTCCTCTTGATGTAATGACGTGTTGAAAAAAAGAATTAATAATGCAGAACGCAACGTATTTACATTTTCGTCCTATGAATAAATATGAGTGGGCTGAGTTCATTATAATTGCGTATGAGGTGATTCCCCCCGACACACCTCAAAATGGTCGGGAATTAATACGATGCAACCACTTCCTTTCCAGTGGTGGTGTAATTTTTTCTGACTACTCTTCAGTGGAATTAAAAGCAAACGTGAAATATCCTCCATTTAAAGGTGCACAGTAGCAATCCCCACTTCAGTAGCACCTGTGATGTGAGAGATGCGCCTTAAAACGTGGGGCTGTAAAACGTTTGCTCGCCACGGCTCCAATATTGCAAACACCCGAAACTCTCTTGCTCGGCTCATCTCAAACAAACTTACACTTCGAAGTTGATAGTGAAGCGGAACATGATTATCTCCTATTCTCCAGATACTTACCAATCCTTACGGGTTTAATTAACACTTCCCAGTGAGTGTAATTAATAATAATGATAATAATATATGCAATAATAATAAAGATAATATATGCAAAAATAAGGATAATACTATATGCATTATTATTATTATTATTATTATTATTATTATTATTATTATTATTATTATTATTATTATTATACAGTTTAATTGTATAAGACAGTAAGGTTTCGAAGATGAATCACTGATAAACATTGTTATACTGACACGAAAATAGCATGTACGTACACTAAAAATTTGAATGTACGTACGAACACACACCACATACACACACACACACATTCTGATGCGTGTGTGAGCACTCACTCGCACCTGCAGACACGCACCTGCATGCATTTCCACGAGACAATGTATCTAAATGAATTAATTTGTATTCACTGCAGGATTTCAATGAACAATAGATCCTTTGTCTTGTCCAATCAATGTCTGAGACTCTCTGTTTCCTCCTTCAGCAGGGCAGCGACACAGAATCTCCTCTGCTGCCGTCGACGACGCAGCAGCCTACAGAGGAGCCATCTCTGGCCTCCCCACAGGAGCAACACCCACCCACTATGCAGCAGTCCCTCAACAACACCCAACTCTTCGGAGGCGAGAACCTCCCTGCACACCCGCCAGTGCTCGTCAGGAGGAAGAGAGAGGGTTTCGGATGGAATTCTCCTTTCCCGCTACCCCTGGCCACCAGCAGGAGACCAGTAAGGCTTCAGCTACCGCCCCAGGAGGATTCAACAGAGGAAGAGGAAAATGTGGGGCAAGAAGAGGAGTTCACCTCTTCAGCTTCACTGAAGCTTGAGAGTAATCAGACAGCCTCGTCTCCACTCACCATTTGGAAGGTAAGTTTACACTTCTTGCTTGACTGACACTTGACTGATGTAGTCCTAGTTTCCAGATCCTTGTCTTCCAGACAAGGATCTGGAAGACAAGGAAGGTTAGCATAGGCACCACTGTGGTCACAGTGGCGCCTATGCTAACCTTCCTATGGTGTAGAAATATACCTAGTTGGACGAATCTTATTGTGGCTAGCTGGTCCAGTGGCTAACGCGGCGGTCCGGAGTTTTGAGACTCTCTGATCGCGGGTTCTACCCCCGTCCGTGGTATGGTTTGTTTGCAATCGTGTCATTACGATTTCGTAAGTCATGTTCATATGCATGTGTACCTACTGACAGAATCACATGTATGTGTACCCACTGACATGATCATAGGCACGTGTACCTACTGAAAGGATCACAGGCATTTGTACCTATTGACAGGATCACATGCATGTGTACCTACTGACAGGATCACATGCACGTGTACCTACTGACAGAATCACATGCACGTGTTCTCACTGACAGAATCACATGCACGTGTACCCACTGGCAGGATCACAGGCACGTGTACCTACTGACAGGATCGCAGGCACGTGTACCTACTGACAGGATTTAGCAGCATCTAATGGTATTTATTCTATTACTGTGAAGGCAAGCATCTGCTGTCTCAGAGACACACAGACAGACACACACACACACACACACACACACAGACACACACACAGACACACACACACACACAGACACACACACACACAAAAGACACACACACACACACACACCACAACACACACCCCCACATATACAACACATACACACACACACACAGACACACACAACACCACACCAGACACACACACACACACCACACACACACACCCCACACACACACACACAAAACACACACAACACACACACACACAATAACTATGAAGGCCGCCCACATGCTTGGTGCACATGTACCACACACGCACACACAAAACCGTAACCATGGCTGCCGACCATATCCACCACACACCCAACAAACACAGCAGCCGCATACCTTCATTCTTCATCCACAGACACAATAGTAACCACAGCTGCTCCCCACCATGGTTGGTCCCCCTCACACACATTTTCTAGGATTGTAAGAAGGCTTTCGTCAGAGTCCTACAAAGGAGATTAGTGCAAAAGCTAGAGGAGCAGGCAGGAATAACAGGAAAGGCACTGCAATGGATCGGAGAATACCTGACAGGAAAGAAACAACGAGTGATGGTAACTGACAGGGTCTCAGAGTTTGCACCTGTAACGAGCGGGGTTCCACAGGGGAAAGTCCTAGGACAAGTGCTGTATCTAGTACATGTATATGTGAATGATATGGCGGAAGGGATAGATTCAGAGGTGTCACTGTCTGCAGACGATGTGAAACTAATGTGAAGAAGTCAAACGAATGAGGATCAGGTAGGACTACAAAGGGATCTGAACAGATTGCCAGCCAGGTCCAGAAACTGGCTCCTGGAGTTTAACCCCACCAAGGGCAAAGTCTTGATGATTGGAGAAGGTCAGAGAATATTGCAGAGTACAGGCTAGGGGGCCAAAGTCTGCAAACCTCACTCAAGGAAAAGGATCTGAGGCACACATCAAACAAATAACTGCTGCAGCATATGGGTGCCTGGCAAACCTAAGAACGGTGTTTCGACACCTGAGTAAGGAATCGTTCAACACTCTGTTCACCGTGTACGTCAGGCCCATATTGGAGTATGCAGCACCAATGTGGAACCCACACCTGGTCAACACATCAAGAAATCAAAGTGCAGAGGTTTGCAGCAAGACTAGTCCCGGAGCTAAAGGGTATGTTCTACGAGGAGAGGTTATGGGAAATCAACCTGACAACACTGGAAGACAGGAGAGATGAGATAGGGGGACATGATAACGACATATGAAACACTGTGAGGAATTGATAAGGTGGGTAGGGGCACAATGCTCCACAGATGGGACACAGCACCAAGGGGTCACAATTGGAAGTTGAAAACTCAGATGAGTCACAGGGATGTTAGGAAGTATTTCTTCAGTCATAGAGTTTTTAGGAAGAGGAAAAACCTGGGGAGTGATGTAATGGAGGCAGGATCCATATGTTCTTTTAAGAAGAGGTACGATGAAGCTCATG